ATACATCTTGTACACATAGCCTGAAAGTAATTTTATACACAGTATTTTAAACATATTTTGTGCATGAAACAAAGTTTGTGTGCACTGAACCATTAGAAAGCAAAAATGTCTCTTTTCTAGCCACCCATGTGGACCATTTTGAATTTTGGAGTATTTCAGATTTCAGAATTCCAGATAAAGGAGACTCAACCTGTATCACCTTTTCCTTAACATAATTATACATATACATAACTCATGTTCCGGGAAGGAGCGGAAAAAAGTGGCTCCTTTTTAAAGCGCACTTTCACGGGAAAAGCCAAGTAGGGGGTGCTTTTTCGGCGTGCGCCATGCAAAGACTGTGCCTTCAGGTCAGCCCCAAAACAACCCTATTAGCTCGTCTGCTTCCCCCCTGAATAGCAGAGGCCTAAGAAACCCTGTTAACGAATTGTGAAGATTATTTGTCCATCCAACCCAGTCTTGTCGATCCAGAATGGCAGTGGCTCTTCAGAGTGGTAGAGAATGGTAGTTCCCATCACTTCCCAGTATTTGCTCCTTTAAACTAGTAATGCCATGGATTAAACCTGGTATTTCTATATGTAGAGCATACATACATTGGGGACATCTGTGCCTCAGATAAAATCATCTGAGATAGGTTTCAACCAAAGTTTATTTAGTGCTTGGTGTATGTAGAATTGCCAATTGGTTAATGGGTAGATGAAGCTGGTCAGGCAACAGCTCTGATTTCAAGATTTAGGCCACCTCTGCTTATGGCCTTTGGCTTGTCGAGAGGGAGTGGGGGAGAGTTTTTGAATCTTTGTATGCCTCTTCCATATACCCATAATCTCTTTAGCTGTGAAGCCCCTGTGAGGAGTGCTGAGCTGCTAATCTCCTTTGAGATTGTGCAATGATTTTGGATACAATCTGGAGAAAGGGAAACAGATGTGGATCCAAAACACACTGCCCTGGCTCAGTGCTAGGGAATTCTGGGAACTGTAGTTTCTTATAGCACCAGAGCTCTCTAATAGAGAAGGCTCAATGTCTCACAAAACTACAGTTCCCAGGATTCTCTAGTATTGAGACAGGGCAGTTAAAGCAGTCTTAAACTGGATTATTTCTGCACTGTGTTTTGGACCATGGATCTCCAGTGTTGCAATGATTCAAACTGGAGTGGACACTTGCCTGGAAGTAACTCCATTGAATACCACAGAACAGGATTTTTCTACATGGTCATTCTTACTCAGTGACAAGCCTACCTACCTTTGTGGCTGTCTGTTCTGATCACAGTATTATATTTCTGGAATTCAATCCAAAGCTTCTTAAATCTTTGTGGTTAAGAAGAGAACTGGCCTCTGCTGAGTTCAGGTTCTGGAAAGAGAGGCTAGGGTGGGTGGGTGGGTGGAAGATTCACCTAATGTAGTGATTTTTTATTTGATTGTTGAAAATAGGGATCTGCACTAAGTTGTCTAGATGCAAAGGAGGCTAGGCCTTCAGGAGTTTTCATGTTTACAAAGAAGAGTGTATTCAGTAGGAGCAGGTTGCATGACAGGCCCCACCTGCTGAACTTCCCTATTGCATACGACAAGGGCTCTTGGGTCACAGGATGCTAATATGATTTATGACAATGACAGAGGAAGTGCAAAATGCCCTTCCCTCCCCATCCCCATATTCCCACCAACATACAGAAGCTGATTTGACTGGTGATGCCAGTCCACATGATGCAGTCATGCAGGATATTCTACCAAAGTTGGGGGCATGCAGTGCATGTCAGCATGGTGTAGTAGTGGTTTGTGTGTTGGACTAGGATTCTGGAAAACAGAGTTCAAATCCCCACTCAGCCATGGAAACCCATTGGGTGACCTTGAGTAAGTCATGCTCTCTCATCCTCAGAAGAGGACAAAGGCAAACCCTTTCTGACCAAATCTTGCCAAGAAAAACCTGTGGCTCGCCTTAGTGTCTCCATTAGTCAGAAACAACTTGAAGACACACAGGAACAGCAACCAGTGCATGCTGCCCAGCCCACACAAATATCTATCACAGTACACAGTTATAGCACTATGATTCTATTTTAACTGGATGGGAAAAGTAACCCTCCCCAGCAAGTACTCGCAAATAGGCAAAATTAATAACAACCCACCTACCAATGTTACCCCACCTCAAAAACATCTCTAGGGTGCCAGGCCATGATTGCATCCTGTGGAGTCCTGGATTTGTAGTTTGGTAAAGCACTAAAGAGTTCCCATACCTTGGTTGAAATATTGATCAGAACAGAGACTGCAGTCAAGAAATCAGAAGACAGCTAGGTTTGGGAAGAACAGCTATGAAAGAACTGGACAAGATCATAAAGTGTAAATACATAACTCTGAACACTAAAACGAGGATTGTCAAAGCCACCATATTCCCTATCACTATGTATGGGTATGAGAACTGAACAGTAAAAAAAGCCGATAGGAAGAAAATCAGCTCATTTGGAATGTGCTGTTGGAGAATAGTACTAAGAATATCATGGACAGCCAAGAAGACAAACAAATGGGTTCTAGAACAGCTAAAGCCTGAACTCTTTCTGAAGCCAAGATGACTAAGCTGAGGCTGTCATACTTTGTCCCCATCATGAGGAAAAATGAATACTTATAAAAGAAAATGATGTTAGGAAAGTTGTGAAGCATCAGAAAAAAAGGACGATCATATGTTAAGTGGATAGACTCAATCAGGGAGGACACAGATCTGAACTCGCAGGCCCTGAGCAGAGAGGGTGAGGACAGGGGGTCTTGGAGATGTTTCATCCACAGGGTCACCATGAGTCGAGATCGACTCTAGCAGGCATCTAACAACAACAAATAAGGCAGTAAAGCTCTGGCTGAGGATTCTAAGTACTCCTCTCTAAACAGCCAGGATTCCATTATGTTGTTATTGTTGTTGTGTGCCTTTAAATCATTTCCGACTTAGGGCAACCCTAAGGCTTTCCAACTTATGGCAACCCTAAGGCTATCATGAGGCTTTTTTGGGAGGATTTGTTCAGGGGAGGTTTGCCATTGCCTTCCCCTGAGGCTGAGAGCATGTGACTTGCCCAAGGTCACCCAGTGTTAAGTTTCATGGCCAAGCTGGGAATTGAACTCTGATCTACAGAGCTGTAGCCCAATACTCAAACCACTATGCCACACATGGGATACATCAAAGACAGTTAAATTGGAATCATAGTGGTATAACTGTGTAGTGTGAAAGAGAGGAATGGTCTGGATGCTGGTGGGCTTCAGCATTTTCTGCATGAACCAGATCCTTCGATTTAATGGTAGCATTGGTCCTGAAGATTCAGTAGCCCTATCCTCTTTTGTAATTGACCACTAGTCTGTCCTAATATTTGTTCAGGTTTAGAGTTGCCTCTGTTTACTGCTTTGTTGCTGCTGCTGTGTGCTTTCAGGTCATTTCTGACTTATGATGACCCTAAAATAAATCTATCATTCTTGGAAGGTTTATTCAGATTGGGTTTATAATTGTCTTCCTCTGAGGCTCAGAGAGTGTGGTGTGCCTAAGGTCACCCTATTGAGCTTCTACTGCGAATGGGGATTTGAACCCTGGTCTCCCAAAGCCCTAGTTCAACCTTCAAGCCATTCATGGTTACTGTTGCATCTGTGCATTAATGCATTTTAACAAAGCTATGATTATACAATATTTGCTCCAAAAAGGATGATGCTATTGTATCCCATGGTTGCTCATCTATGAGTTTGTCTAAGGATAGGCAAAGCCTTCTTTCTTCCACTATCCCAATGGATTTCTGCCTTGGCTAATAAATAAATAAATAAATAAATAAATAATGACATCATCTCTTTAGGACACTTACCCACAAGAGCAGATGTGCATATTTCATGAGAATAAGCTTTTGCAACTTGTTCTTTTGCACAGTGATTTGGATCCTACCACAGTTTCACATGGTTTCTCCGTTAAAGGCAGAGGGACTTGGGTGACTCTATAGGGCTCCCATCTGAAAGTGCTAAAAGCAGCAAGCTATTAATCCAGTCTAATTAGTGTTCATGGTGCATTTTTTCCTTTCTCTACTCCAGTGCCTTGGGCTGTAGCAGCATATGAACGTACATAGAAATAGATATAGTTTGGTAGCTGGATTTGGTTTGCAGGTGCACACAAAGCATGAAGCATCCATCACCTGCTTGGTGCCTAGATATATCAGGATATGGTTAAAAGCATAGGAGCAAAATCAGATGTGGAAAGGAGATAGGCATGGCAGCTAGCTTCTCAATATAGCTGCAAAAAATCTGGTGGAAATGGGTCTTCCAGTCCTCTCTCATAAGCAAACTCCACTTTCACTCTCCTGCTTGCAAGGAAATGTCTCCATTTGAGATACTTTCCTTCTCATGATGCCAGTTCCTGTTTTCTTTCATGCAGGGGTTAAAAGTGTAGGAACCCTTTCAGAAGGCAGGGATTCAATATCAACAGTCTTCTACAGCTTGCAGATACAAACACTGGGGAGAGATTCTCCTGTTGAATTTCTGCTAGTATTACATCTGTTTCAAAGCACAGGCTGGTGGGCAGGGTGCAGGCATGGAGAGAAGGGTGAGGGAAATAACACCAGCTGTTGGTGGAGTCTGGACAGATGCTTTTCAGAAGCTTGAGCTGGATCCTTCTTGGGCTAACCAGATGTTGTTGTTATTATTTGCTGTCAAGTCAGCTTTGACTTATGGCAACCCCATGAATCAGAGGGAAAATATTCAGGAGTAGATGTACTGGTCATACAGCAATATAAAATAAAATCCACAAGCCATGAATGAGAGGGAAAATATTCAGGAGTAGATGTACTGGCCATACAGCAATATAAAATAAAATCCACAAACCACAAAAGAGTGATACCTATATTGGCCAGCCAAAATGCACAGAACACATAATGCAAGCTTTCGAAGCTCCAGTGAGTTGTTCATCAGGCAAAAAACTGCCAAAATTCCCAGGCATAACAACAGTCGTGCTTATAGGTCTTGCAAACTCAAGGCCTGAGTCTGTTTTACCCATCATTAGGAGCCAGCATGGCATAGTGGTTTGAGTGTTGGACTAGGACTCTGGAGACTAGGGTTCTATTCCCAGCTCAGCCATGAAACCCACTGGGTGACTTTGGGCAAATCCATGCTCTCAGCCTCAGGAAGGCAATGGCAGACCTCCTCTGAAAAAATCTTGCCAAGAAAACCCTATGATAGGATCGCCATAAATTAGAAACACCTTGAAGGCATACAACACACACACACACACACACACACACACTGGCTGCTGCCACACTGCAGAATTAATGTGTGTGACACCACTTTGATTGCCATGGCTCCATCCTATGGAATCCTGGGATTTGTAGTTTGCTGTGGCACCAGAGTGCTCTGACAGAAGATGAAATAGCTCACAAAACTACAAATCCCAAATCCTGCTGGATGGAACCATAGCAGTTAAGGCAGTTTTAAACTGCACGCATTCTGCAGGGTCGATGCTGCCCTTTCCTTTTCCAGTGAGTCACGCCATCCCATGATATGTCCAAATGCACCTGATGCTGTACAGTTTGGGGGGGAAAAACCAACATTTTGCCACTGCAAAAAGCCAGGTCTTGTACCTCTCCATGCTGTGTGAAAGGTGATGGAAAGAATACTGTGTCTGTGTGTGAAGGTGTGAAATCCAGTATTCCTTTGCTAACACCGAAGGAACATAGGAAGGTCTAAAAAAGAGAACTATGCCTAACAAAGTAGGGGAGAACTATGTAGG